AACCTTGTTCCCCTTTTCTGCTCATTTTTATGCTTCACTATTGTTTTATGACTTACCGGGTTAGTTGGTTTGGGTCCGGGTTGAATTCAGAGTGAATTGTGACACTTAGTCTCTTAATTGAAATCTTAAGCTTGAAAAGTCGACTGGATGTCGACTTATGTGTAAACGTCCTCGGATTGGAATTTTGATGGTTCTGTTAGCTCCATTGGATGATTCTGGACTTAGGAGCGTGTCCAGGTTATGATTTGGAGGTCGGGAGTAGGATTAGGCTTGAAATGGAGAAAGTCGGATTTTTTGGGAAGTTTGACCGGGGGGTTGACTTTTTGATATCGTGATGGGATTCTGATTCCGGAAGTTGCAGTAGGTTTGTGGGGTAATTTGTGTGCAAAATTTGAGGTCAATCGGACATGATTTGATAGGTTTCGGCGTCGTTTGTAGAATTTGGAAATTTCGAAGTTCATTAGGCTTGAATCCGTGTGTAATTCGTGTTTTCGATGATGTTGGAGGTAATTTGAAGATTCGACTAAGTTCGTATGATGTTTTAAGACATGTTGGTATGTTTGGTTGAGGTCTCGGGGACCTCGGGTTGATTTCAGTTGATTAACCATTTAAGATTTGAAGTTTAAGAACTGCTGAAGTTTGAGGGTTGCTAGTGTAATCGCATCTGTGGATTGGGGACCGCAGATGCGAGCTCACAGAAGCGAGAAAAGAGACCGCAGAAGCGGCCAGGGATGCTTTGATCAGAGGCCGGAGATGCGACCATCCGCGCGCAAAAGCGGTTTGCGCAGGAGCGCACGCTGGGCTCAAATGCGGAGAATGGCGCAGGTGCGAGGGCTGTTCCGCACAAGCAGTTGGCGTAGAAGCGGGCAAGGGCGCACCTGCGAGACCGCAGAAGCGGACAAGTTGTTGCAGGTGCGGAATGCCTGGGGCAGAGCATATAAATACGGGACTTTGAGATTTTTCACCATTTTCACCACTTTGAGCTCGGATTTTAGAGGATATTTAGAGAGATTTTGAAGTGATTACAGAGGTAAGATCCTTGTGTCCATTTATTTTCAATAATGATGTTTTCCCACTAATTTTACACCTAGTTGGTGAGTTTTTGAGGTGAAATTTCGGAGTTTAGGGCTAGAGAATTAGAAAGTGAATTTTGAGAATTAGGATGACCAAATGGTGTCGGATTTTGATAAATTTGGTATGGTTAGACTTGTGAGTGAATGGGCTTTCAGGTTTTATGACTTTTGTCGGATTTCGAGACATGGGCCCGGGGGCAGGTTTGAGCCAATCTCGGATTTTGGCTTATAATTTCGTGTTTTTCTTATGGAATTGATTCCTTTAGCCTATATTAATTGTATTTCACTTCTTGTGGCTAGATTCGGGGCATTTGGAAACCAATTCGAGAGGCAAAGGCATTTTGGAGTAGAGTTTTGCATGGTTTGAGGTAAGCAATAGTTTTAAATCTGATCTTGAGAGTATGAGACCCCGGATTATTGTATTATGTGAGTATTTTGGAGGTGAAGTACATGCTAAGTGACGGGTGTGTGGGCTTGCACCGTGGGAATTGGGGCTTGGTCCATTCCGTGAAACTGGAAAGTTGAATAAGCTTGTTGTCAGCCATGTGCCCATTCTGTGCTCTAGAAATTTGACAGTGAATCATGCTAGAAATCATGCTTAGGCTATGTGTTGGTGCTGTAAAGACCCCAGTGGTCGTGATATCTGTTGAACCTTCTTGCTTATTGTTACTTATACTCAGTCGTAGTATTACTTGCATATTATACCTCAGTCTCTGTTATTCCCTGCTGATACATTATATCATTCTGTTTTGTTTTGGGTTGATTCCTCTTTATTACTGAGGGCCGTGAGACTAGAGAGGTTGATGACTGAGTGAGGTCGAGGGCCTGTTTGTGAGGTATTGATACCATAGCACGTGAGTTGTCCATGCGAATCCACATATTTATACTATAGCACGTGAGTTGTCCGTGCGGATCTTGATATGATACTATATCACGTGAGTTGTCTGTGCAGCACGTGAGTTGTCCATGCGAATCCACATATTTATACTATAGCACGTGAGTTGTCCGTGCAGCACGTGACTTATCCGTGCGGATTATAGTGCTTAGGATATAGGAGCCCCTTCGGAGTCTGTACACCCCCAATGAGCGCATGTACCTATTGAGTGTGAGTATTGAGGGCTAAGAGTTGAGTGTTGAGCTATTGAAAGAGCCTGGGGGGACTGTTGCACTTATTTCATTTGTTGCTGCACTTAGATGATTTATGTCATTGTTCTGAAACTTCTATAAAATATTGTATCCAGTTTTACCTGAACTTGGTAATGTGTAACTGACTTGACTTAAATTGCCGGAATTGAAACATGTCTACTTTTATTGCTGAAATTACTGAAATGAACTATATTTGTATAGCTCGTCACTACCTTTCAGTTCCTTAATTATTATTGTTACTTACTGAGTTGGTTGTACTCATGCTACACCCTGCACTTCGTGTGCAGATCCAAGTGTTTCTGGTCACGGAGGACGTTGATCTCGTGCGTGGTTGAGTATCGGAGATTCACGAGGTAGCTGCCGGCATTCGCAGTCCTTGTTTCTCCTTCCTTGTTATCTTTTCTTTTCTGTATTGGTACTTTGACACAGACTCTTGTAGACACTGTTTCTTAGACTGGTTCTTTAGATGCTCATGACTTGGTGACACCCGATGTTTGGGACTATGTTTCCGCACTATATTTTGAGTTTAACTCCTGTTATTTTTTTTACGAAAACTCTGTCATGTAAAAGCTTTTGACTTAAATTTGGTGAAATATTGGAAGTATTTTTGAGAATCAGATTGCCTAGTACCATCGATAGGCGCCATCACGACAAGTTAGGATTTTGGGTCGTGATGGAGCCTATCGATGATTGATGATTTCAAAAGAGAAATTGGGATTTTTTGTCTAAACTTTCTCAAAGTGAATTTTTTTTAGTTTTGAACATCGATTTGAAGTCGTATTTGAGTGAAATTAGTATGGTTGGACTCGTAATCGAATGGGTTGTCGGATTGTTTGAGTTTTGTCACGTTCCGAGGTACTAGCTCGAGTTTGACCTTTTGGTTGACTTTGAGTAAATGAGTAAATATTCAACCTTTATCAATTGAGATTGTTTCCTTAGGCATTATTTGATGTTTTTGAGTTGCTTTTGGCTAGTTTCGAGCCATTCGGAGGTCGATTCGCGTGGGATAGCATTTATAAAGTATTGTTTGGCTTGCTCGATATTGGATTTGGCTCGTTCGAGGTAGCTAACATCTCTAAACTTGGATTTGAGGGTAAATATCCCTTAGAACTATGATATTTGAGATGGATAGGGGTGACGCACGCGCTAGGTGATGGGTGTGGGTGCGTGCATCGAGGTATTCATGATGCGGGTAGTTCTTAGGCTATTACATGCCTTGTTTTGCTATCATGCTTCTTTGATATCATGTTTTCCCCATTTATGTGACTACGTGGGATATTATTCATGTTAAAAATCATGCCTAGGCTACTTGTTCAATTATTTGTGACATGATAGGGCTATTCTCGCCATGTTGAGCTATTTGCCTTGGCCGTAGTCATACTGTACAGTCATGATAGTTACATCCGCATGTTATATTTTGGTCTTTGTGCACTGTATATATACTGTCTCACATGTTATTGGTGTACATGAACGTGACATGAGTTTGAACTATATTTGAGACATATTGTGTTATCCCGTGTTATATAATTGGATTATGTTTCTGTGAGATGTCTGCATATTGAGATTTGAGCAGATTGGTGACTGATGTGGGCCATAGAGTTGTATTTATATTGATATTTAGATCGGGTTGCACGCCGTAACAATTATATTGATATTGAGGGGACGGGTATGCTAGGCCCCACAATGGGCTAAGCTGTACTGATTTGAGGCTACACGGGCACCAGGCCCCACCATTTGGGCTAAGTGATTATAGATTAGTGCTTGGGGTAGGATCTACTCCTCCAAAGTCTGACATGCCAGAAGTGGGTGTAGGCACAATATTTCATACACGTGCTTTGATGATGGACAGTTATGTCAGGCACCCGTACAGTGCTAAGTGTGATTGTTTTGATGGATCCATGGTAATGCAGTTGGGGCATTTGAGCCAGTCACCTGGAGTATGCTAAGATTGTCTATGCTTAATGAGTTCACTGTGAAACTGAGTTCTTGACATGTATATGAGGCATAAAGATGTACCTTCCTCATGCAATACATCAACGACAGCAACAACAACAACAACAACAACATCCTAGTGCATTCCCACAAGTGGGGTCTGGAGAGGGTAAGATGTATGCAGCCTAACCCCTACCCTGGAAGGGCAGAGAGGTTGTTTCTGGAAGACCATCGGCTAAAGAAAAGATGTAAGAAGCACTGATAGCAAGTAATACTAATATAGGATATTTAGAAAACTAAATTCAAGATAACAAAGGAGAAGATGAAAGAAGTACTGCTCACAAGTAATAATAGTGCAAGATATATAGTGATATCAAACTAAAGGTATACAAATGGCAAGTACTAACAATACAAGATATGTGGAAATAGCAAACTAAAGTTAAAAGGGTTACCATACTAACACTAATACTATTGAACTAAGGAAAACAAAGGGAATTGCTCAACTACATACTAACCTTTTATTCTCAACCTTCATACCCTCCTATCAAGGGTCATGTCCTCAGTAAGCTCAAGCTGCACCATGTCCCGCCTGATCACCTCTCCCCAAGACTTCTTCAGTCTACCTATACCCTTCCTCTTACCCCCCAAAGCCAACCTCTCCCACGTCCTGACTGGGGCATATGTGTTTCTCCTTTTAACATGCCCGAACCATCTAGGCCTCGTCTCTTGCATATTTTCCTCCACAGGGGCCACTCCCACCTTGTCCCTAATAACTTCATTCCTAATTCTATCTAACCTCGTGTGCCCACACATCCATCTCACCATTCTCATCTCTGCTACTTTCATCTGCTAGACATGAGAGTTCTTAACTGGCCAGAACTCTACCCCATACAACATAGTTGGTCCAACCACTACCTTGTAGAACTTCTCTTTAAGTCTCAACGGCATATTCTTATCGTACAAGACACCAGAAGCGAGCCTCCACTTCATCCATCCTGCTCCGATACAATGTGTGACATCCTCGTCAATCTCCCCATCACTCTGAATCACAGACCTAAGGTACTTAAAACTCTCTCTCCTTGGAATGACTTGTGTATCAATCCTCACATCCCCATGATTTGACATGTAGGCGTAGAGATGCATTTTTCTCATGCTAACTGGTATATGAAAAGTCTTCTCTGATATTGTAAATTGGAAAAAACAAAGTTCTTTTGATAAATTCATGTCTAATTGACTTCAATGGTAAGATCTAGACTGGGGTTGTTATACTTGAAAAACATGTCTACTTTTCCATATCTGTGAACGAGTTGGGCATTACCTCACCTGAGTTATATACTTTTATTGTCTTCTCTATATTGTTATGAACTATTATTGGCTAGTGATGTAGGAATACTAATATCTTCCGAGATCATCACTGCTTTCATCCTAGGGTTAGATTTGTTACTTATTGAGTACATGGGGTCGGTTATACTCATACTACACTTCTGTACCTTGCGTGCAGATCTTAGAGCTTATGTTTATATTTATGGTGGGAGATAGCATTGATCATGTACCTGCTTTTCCGGATATAGCTGCCATTTGTCCTTGGTAGCTTTAGATTTATAACTCTATTTATGTATATTTCGAACAGATGATATATTTATTTCTCACAAGCTTTATATATTCTAATTCTAGAAGCTCATGATTTGTACTACCAATCCTTGAGATTTTTGTACAGAAATTAAGTTATTTTACTCATTGATTCCTATTATTCTCATTTGAGTTGTGTTAAGTGTTATTTAGCTTACCTAGCGGATTAGGGTAGGTGCCATCACGACTAGTTGGATTTTAGATCGTAACACTCAAGTTTTCCACTTGAGAGTACCTGTTAGACCCTCGAAAATCTATTTTGGTGGAAATTATGCATTCATCATGTTGAACCTAGGATGGATAAATACCTTTGGTGTATTAAGTCCATTTAGACAACCTTTCCAAGTCCAAGTGAATTTTTATAATCCCAAGTGATAACTTACATACTTTATGTGCATTCGTTTGGAGAAAGACGTATCAATATGCCAACTATTATCTTTAGTTAATCAAATTTAGGAGGGCAAAAGGCTAACTCTTTTGTAATTGCCAGAAAAGATAAAGCATAATATTCCTAGATTTGGTATGGTTCAAATTGTCCCATCCAAATTGATTTATTAGTGGAATGACCTTCGTGGGTGTGATAAGAGCCATGTTAGGCGTGTATTGGGAAATTTGCCCTATTTAATGGGGGATCAAACCATGTAAGAAAATGATTGAAGCTGCAACCATATTCTGGGACAAAAAGAAGGTTGTTTGTTATTCGAAAATTTAGAAATGATCATGCTTCTAGAAGAAATTAAGGGTTTTGCCAAACTCCCATAGGATATCCTGGGCAACTAGTTCTATAAAATCGATTGCCTCAGTTTTCTCAAGATGTTTGGAATCAAGAAAAACTATGAACTTGACTATTTGAAGAAGTCTTGGATCTTTTTCGATTTCCTGTACGAGCAATTTGGGAATGGTAAAGCATATCAGAGATTTCATGACGAGTTTACTATCACATCTGTAGTCTAAATTCATTAAATAGTTTTTGCCTTTATTGTGTGCTTTCTAAGACTGCTAGTTTTCCCTAGACATGAAGGGAAGACTCAAAGCCGATTGGCCATGGTGGCCAAAATTGCAACGGGGGGGATTGAAGGTCAAGCCTATACCATCATCCCAATAATCTTAGCTGAAATATGTGGGGTTTTAGACCGTTGCAAGCACGGGGCAGGCCATTTCAATAGTGTGACATCCTGCTACAAATCCGGTTAATAAAACATCTCCAAAAGGGCAACTACCATCAAGAGTTCATCCGTAGGCCAATAGATGATTATATAGCCAACCATCATCATAGCTAAATAACTTTCACCCCAGATAGGTTTTCAAAGCCTACCAGTGCTAGGGGTGGACATATTTCTTAAATGACCTGTCAAATAAGCAAGTACAATGAATGTTCGAGCGGTTCTCAAGCAAAAATTTCATATTGCGATCTAAGAAGGCAACGTACCTGGTTTTAATAGGGTTTTAAGTCACTTATACCTATGCTTCATTGGGGGTTATGAGGCAATCTAGACGAAAGCAAGTGATGCCATAAATAGCTTATATGACATGATATAAAGCGGACTTCAAAGAAGACGAGGTACCACTTAAGTATGAGATTCTCCACATCATGAACCAAAAGACTATTGTAGGTGAAGATATTAAAGAACCTGACAGGTACCAAGCTGGGCATATATACTACTATCCTTCATAGTTGGAAGATGATATAGTCGGGGTTGTCAAGAGAAGCATTAAACTGAAAGAGAAAATCACAGATGAAGAGGTAAAGGCATAAGTCAAGTATAGAAGGCTGCATAAAGGGTTCTTGAATCTGAAGCACAACACGGGGAGCAACACAAGGTCGATATGGAAGTTATAAGAGAATCGAAAGAAATATAGTACAAGGCCATCGAAAAGGTAAAGTACTTGGAGAAAGGATTGCTAGAGCTAGAGGAAAAGATAAGAACGAGACTAGAATTATCAAGAGGAAGGACATGAAGAAGGAGGAAAGCTAGCCATGTCCTATTTGATGATCGACATTCACTACATTGGGAATATAGTTGCTGGTGTAAAGAAGGCAAAGCATGTTGAAGGACCACCTGGAACCAAGTAAACTACGATTATTTATTTTCTTTTTGTTTATGCTATGTAAGAAGGCCTCGAGCCATTTGTGACTTTATTTACGTTTTTGAGATTAGAGCAATTTTGATTAATTTTGAGTTAATGGAATGAAGCATATTGGCACAAAAATCTTCGATTTTTACTTGACGTCTTGTGTCTACCTCGGGCACAACGAGCTCCCAAATTAAGATGCGTATTATTAAATGTCCTATGTGATATTCGTTTAATGCTGCATTCAAAATGCTTTGCTCTTCCTTATTTATCCCATTGTACTAACTTGGTATTTTTTTTTTATTTTTTTTTAATTATTTATTCCCCTTCCCGAAATAATTTGTGCATCCTGGCATCATCATCATATCACACTAGATAAAAAGGTCTTATACCACCACCTCCTCTTCCAAGAGATCTTAACAACAAAAAGGACCAATGGAAAAATGGATGATATGAGAAACATGTAAGGACAATGATCCCACTCTGAGGAAAAATGTGGAGACATCTGATGGAAGGAGTATTCCGGGGGCAGAATGGAGCTAGTGGTGAATTAAAGCAGGTGCAAAATCTTTCCTACCTATCCCTTGCCCTCAATGTCCCTGACGTAAGCTACCAAAACACCAACCATACTAATACCAAAAACCCACCTACTCTTCAAAACCCACTACCACCTCAAAACCCGCCACTATAAGCTTCACATAATCCTTTACCTCTGACCACCCAACGTTACCTAAATTCTTTTCCTCCAGTCCCAAAATATCAAAATCCTTTGCCACTACATATCTCATAACAACATCATCGCAATCGACACTAATTAATCCACAATACCCACAAAGCACCACTTACCCCTCTCTCTAAAATACATCACAACATATCTCCCACATCCATGATCCACCACAAATATCCATCAATGGCCACTTATACTCCTAAATTCCTGGAATCTATCAAGCAAACCCTATATACTTAAAAAATTTACCATACACCCTAAAAGATCCAATACATATCCGAGCCCACTGAGAAGGACCTGCTCATCAGGAATATGGCCAAAAAGCTAAAGAAGTTATTTGGAAGAGTCCAGAGTATAGAAGGGGGAAAGGGGATTGAGGACCTGAACTATAATGATCTCTGCATCCAGACGGACATAGAACTGCCCGAAGTCTAGAAGCCCCCAAAGTTCATAATGATCGATGGAACTGGTGATCCAAAGGCCCATTTGAGAACATATTCTGATAAGCTTGTCGGCATTGGAAAGATCGAGCAAATTCACATAAAATTATTTGTGCAAAGTCTTACCGGAGATGCTTTATCATGGTGCATCGGGTAGAACCCAAAGAAATGGCACAACTGTGTGAGCATCACTTCGGATTTCATGGACAAGTTCTGGTTCAACAAAAAAATACCCCAGACGTGTTTTATATCCTATATCTACTAAGGAAACCTACGGAAACATTCTGTGAATATGCTACTAAATGGAGGTCTGAGGCTTCTAAAGTGAGGCCACCTGGAAGAAGAACAGATAAACAAGTTCTTCGTACGTGCTCAGGATCAACAATATTATGAAAGACTGATGGTTATTGAGAATCACAAATTCTCATACATCATCAAATTAGGAGAAAAATTGAAGAAGGCATAAAGAGTGGCATGGTCACCAACTTTGAGGCTTTTCAAGTCACTAACATAGCCTTACAATCCGGGGGAATCTCAGAGAAGGAGGTTGGTACCGTGATGGTCGCCCAAGGTCCAAAGTCTCCCCTTACTTACCAAACATCTCCACCTACATATCACCCTTCCACTCCAAATTACCACTATCCCGCAATTACCTACCACACTTATAACACCCAACCAATATACTATCAGTCACCCCACCTACCCTCCAAAAATATCATAAGCCTCGAGCCAACTTAGACCAAAAAAACACCTAAACAATACACCCCTCTTGTTGAACCCATAGCTCAGCTATATGAAAGGTTGAAAGTTGCTGGTTACATCGTGATGATCCCTCCTGTAGTACCTAAACCTCATCTTAATAGATCAACCCTAACAAGATTTGTGCCTACCATTCGGGAATAAAGGGGCATACCAATGAAGAGTGTCGTACGTAGAAGAATAAAATTCAAATGTTGATTAATACCAAAGTAATACATTAAAGGAGCCTCCGCCAAATTTTCACAATAATCCGCTTTCAACCATAATGGTGATAGAGTGAACATGATAGATACAGATAAGGAATGGGATCAAGAAGGGTCCATTGGTTTCATCCGAGACAGAGATACTATGGTGGTCCCTTCTTTAGTACCCTTACAAGTTGTGGTGCAAACTAGTGTATCATTTAAAGTTGAGGTAGCCACCCTCCGGCCAAAATTTATTGTCATGATAGCTCCCTACCTGCTTATAATCTTAAAGTTGTGCCGTGAGATTACAAATTCGAGGTCAGAAAGAAAAGAAAGGCTCAAGTAGAAGAAGTTGGGCTTCTAAGGAATGACCAGAACTGGCAGGGTATACACACTAGAGAATTTGGCCCAAGGTGGGCCGAGTAGAGAAACTGCATCAAAGCCACCAGTGGTGGAAATAAGTAATAACGATCAGTGGAGAAAGATATAAGCCAATAAGTATTCAGTTCTGGAGCATTTAAACAAAACCCTTGCTTAGATATTTATCCTATCATTGTTGCAAAATTTCTGAGGCACACAAGAACGCTTTGATGAAGGTACTAAGTGAAGCTTATGTACTGGTAGGTAGGATAAATAGCAAACATGATGGGGCAAATTCTGGAGACACATAAGATCACCTTCCATGAAGATTAGTTACCACCAGAAGGGTAAGGCCATAATAGAGCATTGCACATCACTGTGCAATATGAGATCAAGTTTATAGTT